TGCCTCGTTCCCAGCCTGCCCAGCGGCATGGTGGACCCCCTGGCCAAACCTCCCTGCCTCGTTCCCAGCCTGCCCAGCGGCATGGTGGACCCCCTGGCCAAACTTTTCTGCCTCGTTCCCAGCCTGCCCAGCGGCATGGTGGACCCCCTGGCCAAACCTCCCTGCCTCGTTCCCAGCCTGCCCAGCGGCATGGTGGACCCCATGGCCAAACTTGTCTGCTTCATTCCAGGCCTGACCAATCCCATGATGAACCCCCTGGCCAAACCTCCCTGCCTCGTTCCCAGCCTGCCCAGCGGCATGGTGGACCCCCTGGCCAAACCTCCCTGCCTCGTTCCCAGCCTGCCCAGCGGCATGGTGGACCCCATGGCCAAACTTGTCTGCTTCATTCCAGGCCTGACCAATCCCATGATGAACCCCCTGGCCAAACCTCCCTGCCTCGTTCCCAGCCTGCCCAGCAGCATGGTGGACCCCCTGGCCAAACCTCCCTGCCTCGTTCCCAGCCTGCCCAGTGGCATGGTGGATCCCCTGGCCAAATCTCCCTGCCTCACTTCCCGCTTGGTTGACCCCATGATGGACCCCCTGAATCACTTTGTCTGCCTCCTTCCCAACCTGTCCAGCAGCGTTGTTGACCCCATGGATAAACTTCTCTGCTTCCTTTCCTGCTTGTCCGACGCCATTGTTGGTACCATGGGCTACCTTGTCCAAGCCGTGGTTGAGCCCCTGGATGTCCTTGTCCAGCTCCTTGCCGGCCTGGCTCCCCATGTTGCTAAGTCCATTAAAAACTTTCTCCACTTCCCTTCCAGCTTGAGTGATGCCATTATTGATGCCTTCCAGGGCCTTGCCCACCTCTCTCTCTGCATTGCTCAGCCCTCGGTTGATCCCTTCAATGACCTTCTCAATGGGGTCATCACTGGCTGCCCATCCAGGCAGGGCCCCCAAAAGCAGTAGGAGGGAGCAGGAACTGATCAAACTGGCAAGATGCATATTGTTGGGAGGGTGGGAAGGATGCAGAGAGGAGCCAGCGAAGCCAAGCTGCTATTTATCTTCTGCTTCCCTCCCTCTTCTCCACCCCTCATGACTCAATTACCCCCGTGAGGCACTGACTTGGTCTCCAGTCAAGGAGGTATTTCCCAGGGAGATTTGAGGTTGAGCAATGAAGAGGAGGAGGAAGAGAAGGTGAGTCATGAATGAAGAATACTCACATGGCATCTTTGCTCCCTGCCCCGTTCAGGCCCTCCACCCCAGAGCCTAGATGTCTGCCCTTCCAACTACCTCCTCTTTTCATTCCTCACCCACTAGCCAGGCCTCCGCTCTCCCAACCCCACCTTCAATAACCCCCCATCTCTGGTTCCTCAGCTTCTTCACTCCTCTCAGGGGATCAAGGATCCAGCTTCCCAGCATTGAGATTCTAGAAAGATAAGAGGTACAGTCAGGGGGAGGTGAGCACTTTCAGGGAGATGAGGAAATCATCAGACCTTGTTCTTATTGTTCTTGTTGACCCACTCCTCACACACACACACACACACACACACACACTTTACCACACTTCAGCCACACAGGACTTCTCCCTGGCCTTCAAAAACACCAAGTTCATTCCTGCCGTATGGCCTTTGCCCTTGTTGTTCTCCCTAGTCCTGAAACACACCAAGCTCATTCCTGCTTTATGGCCTTTTCCCTTGCTATTCTGTCTGGTATCAGTACTTAGATCTTCATATGGCAGATTCCTCCTCATTCTGTTTTTGGCTCAAATATTACCTTCTCAAAAAACTTTCCTGGCCATCCCCCAGTTATACTCTGTAATATCATCCTTTGGTTTTTATAACACTTAATTGATCCAAAACTACCTTTTTTATTGTCTGTCCCTCCTATCAGATTATAAACATTGAGAGGACAGGGCCTTTGTCTGTGTTAGTTACTGCTATATCCCCAACGTCTAGAACATTGCCTGGAGTTCAGTAGATATTTATAAATTGGACAAATGGATGGATTAGAAGAAGCCAAGGGAAGGATAGGCCTAAGTCTGAGTCTCAGAGGGTGCTGGAGGGGAAGGGTGCCTGGGTCCCCAGAGTAGCCTAGGGTCCCTTGGGAAGGGTTGCAGATTTTGGAGCCAGGATCACATTCTCATCACAGAACCCTAGCCTCCTGCCTCCCAGCCCTTGGGCAAGGGCAGGGGGCTGATTGCCATGAGCTGGGACAGGACGCAGTGCCTCCTGAAAAGCCGGTTGAGGCAGCCATGGGGAGGGGCTGGAGACCCAGAACAGCAGGAGACTGTCAGCCAGAACCTGGGCTGGGGGCCAGGAGCTCATTCTTCCTGACCTCCTCCCCCTGGAGACTCATAAGTCCCAACCTGAAGCCCCAGGTGTTGACATGGCAGCATGGGTTGGAGGAAGAAACTGCTAAGAGGTGGCCTAAGTGTGAAGAGAGGCATCAGGAGGAAGGGCAGGTAGTGGTTTGCAGATCTGTGGCAGAATATCTATCTGGAGCTAGTTTAGAGGGAGGCAGAGACCAGAAGGACAAGAGCCAGTGGGTGGGTACAGTTGGGTGAAGGGGTGTAAGATATTTGGGTTTTTGTGCCAAGGGGAGAGACTGAGAAAGGGGGTGGAGGTGGGATTGCAAGTGGGAAGGCCAGGCAGGAAGGAATGTGCAGGGTGTGAGCAAGTGGGGGTGGCAGAGTTATGTGTGTGGGTGCCCAGGTGTGGTGAGAATCTGCAAGTGTTTTGGGGCTTTGCTCAAACAAGGACAACACGGCCCACTTCCCTTGGTAGACCCAGGGTTCCACCCCAGATCCTGGACACTTGGCTCTATTCGGAACCAGGCATCCAAGACCCAGAGGCCCAGGAGCTTCTGCCTTCTCTGTGCTCTGCCTATAGAGGGTGACTAATTGTACCACCGCTCCACGCTTGAGTTCATCGTTACGTTTCCAAGTTTCACGCTCCAGGAACAAAGCCAAATCCCTGGGCAACCTCAGGTGTGGCTTTTCTGTCCAGTGCCTAAATGAGGGAGTTTCCCATGCCAGAAGATTGCTGGGTGGGGAGCTCCAGAATCCTAATCCTCCCTGAGATTGACAGGTGGGGTTTCTCCATTTCTCTTTCCACCCCTCTCTCTGCCCTACCCTCCCATCTTCTGTCAGCCTCAGGCCCCCTCCTCAGTGCTCCATTCTCATTGGCCACTATTTGGTTTGAATTTTGGCATCTATCTCTGTGAGACTGGCCTGCCATCCTCTGCTGATTTGGGCTACATGGTTGTGTTGCTTTCCTAGAGTGAGGGGTGGAGCTTTCAGTCATGGAGCCATCACAGCTCCCCCAAAGAACTCCCAAGAAGTTTGCCATGAAAGTACACAGTGTGCATGCCAATCCACAGGGCCTCTGAACATGCACCCTGCCCGGAGCCTCTCTGCACAGGAGCTGCTGCAGGCTTTCCAGCTCTGGTTAGGATCTGCAACATTTCCTATAGTCTGGCAAATACTTGTTCCTGATACTCTGGCAGATCTTGTCATAAAATCAGGATCTGAAAAAAAAAAATCAGGATCTGAATCAGCCTTTGGGATCTTAACTCTTTGTCTCTTGTTATTGACCTACTCAGATCTGCCATTTCTTTTTGTACCAATTTTGATCCTTTATATTCTCTAAGAAATATTTTAATTTCATCAAGCATTTCATATTTATTATTGTAAAGTTGTACAAAATCAGTCCCTTTTCAGTCCTGGTTTTATTTGTATGGTCTTTCCACCCCTCTTGATCATACATGTACAGTTCGTCCCCCCTTTGTTTAATCACTATCTTTTTTTTATTGAGGTCTCCCTATCCGTATGTACAGGCAATTTAGTAGTTTCATTTCCTCCTCTCCCTGGCCATCCAAGCAGGAAGGTCTCACCCTCACCCTATCCCATGGCAGTTGCTTTCCCATGGAGGGTTGGGGAAGAGGTCATATCATTGTGCCCCTTCTTGTTTCCACACCTCTTTCTGGGATGGTGACTCCTTCCTGGCTCCAACCCCCACACCCCTAAGTCTTGGTCACAGTTGTGTGTCAACTGGCCCTGCAGGTGCCTGCCTGTGAGTCACAGATGTGCAAGCAAGCCCCCACCCACAGTGCTTTAGGGGAAGGGGACCATCTGTCCGTGTGTTCTTCCCCAAACGTTTGTGGAAGCTTGCTTTGTGCCAGGCACAGTTCTAGGTGCTGGAGGCCCAGGGGTGAACAAAATAAACAAGAATGCATGCCTTGTGGGAGACAATGAACAAGTAATCATAACTAGGTCATGACAAACTACAATTCAGTGGTTCTCAACCTTCTGGCCCTTTAAATACAGTTCCTCATGTTGTGACCCAACCATAAAATTGTTTTCGTTGCTACTTCATAACTGTAATGTTGCTACTGTTCTGAATCGTAATGTAAATATCTGATATGCAGGATGGTCTTAGGCGACCCCTGTGAAAGGGTCGTTCGACCGCCAAAGGGGTCGCGACCCACAGGTTGAGAACTGCTGAACTACATGAAAAGCCACAAGGAAAAGAAAGGGGTTTAGAGACATCTGCTGTGAGTGAAGTATGGTAGCAACCATCTCAGGTGGAAATTATAGTTTAACTTTAACCCTGCTGTTTGGCTTATGTACCTATTTGCTTTGTTTAACAATGGACAGGTTATTTTGATTTTCTGAATTATATAAATCATCCCATTCAATTAAATGCCTTATTGATTGTAATGTGAATATCCCATGGGTTGTGGTCATACTGGTCTTAGAAAGCACATTTTTCCTTCACCTGGGAAGGACAGCACAGTTATCCCAAGGTCAGAGGGCTCTAGACCCAAAACTGTAATTTAGATAAACCCAGGTTACCCAAGGGCTCTAGATAATGTTTATAACATGCTGTTTAATCTGTTTCTTTTGCGCGACCATCTGTTACTATGAGATTTGGGGAATGGCCCCTCATAGTCCCGGATTGCAATAAATGTGACTCTTTAATTCGACTTCTTGAGGCATCCTTCTGTGACAGGGTACATTACAACATGAGGAAAATAAAATAAAAGGATAGCATGACCTTTGAGTAGTTTTAGACATTGGAACATCTAACCTAGGATGGGAAGTTAGACAGGCTTCCTGAAGCGTGGGTACATTGAGGGGGTGAGGCTGATGGGAGGTAGTGACTGAGAAAGAAGAGAACTTTAGATGGGGAGTCAGGAGGATCTCTTTTAAAGGGTAACACCTGCCCTGACCCCTGGGCAGTGTGGCTCAGTTGGTTGAGCATCATCCAGTGCACCAAAAAGTCACTGGTTTGAGTCCCTGTCAGGGCACATGCCCAGGTTGTGGGCTTGATGCCCTGTAGGGATGTGTGCAAGACAACCTATTGATATTTCTCTCTCTCCCTCTCCTTTCCTTTCTCTCTAAAATCAATAAAAAACATGTTTTTTTAAAATAAATAAAAATAAAGGGCAACACCTGAGGGAAACCAAGAGGCAGCCAGCTGAGGGGAGGCCTCCGCAGAGCTTCCAGGCATAAAGGAACAGCTGGGGTAACTATGGGGAACGGGGTGTATGTCAAGGAACAGCAGGGAGCCAGTGTGCTTAGGGAGAGCGAAGGGCTTTGAGGACCAGTGTAAAAAGTTGGATTCCATTCTAGACGCCAGCGGTGGCATTGGAATGGTGGTGCACAGTGTGCAGACAGCACACCTCCCCTGGGATGGGATGGGCCCTTTGCGCCACCGCCTCTGTGACATCACTGGACTGTGACGTCACGGCAGAAAACTGGTGCCCCACTAGCCCCGCGCCCCGCGTCGCATAACATCGCGGCGAGTCCCTGGGCAGCCAGGCCATGAAATTTTAGGAGGCCATGCGGAAGCGCGACATCGTCCTCACCAATGTCACCGTGGTCCAGCTGCTACGACAGCCATGCCCCGGTGAGGGAGGAGGCGGAGCCCGCTGGGAGAGGTTGGGGGGGAGGCAGGAGGGGGTACAGCGCCCGCTGGGTCGGAGCCCCCTTCATAGAGCGTCCGCAAAAGAGGGTCAGAAGGCGCGCTCTGGCCGATGGGCTCTACCATCCGGGCCGCTTTCCTCCCACCCTCCAGCCACCCCTCCCCAGTCGGCCACCAGAGTTTGCTGCCAAGTGGTTTTCATGGCGATAGTGGAAGGGAGGATGGGCTGGGCGCCTCTCGTGCGCGTGGTAGAAGGATAGAAGCAGGGGCCGGGACGGAACCTGGGGCGGAGTTTATGAGGGGGCATCTCTGAGGACAGCCGCTGGGTTGAGAAGCTCGGCGAGGGAGGTTTCACCTAAAACTGACGCTCCCGTCGCCCAGGGCGGAAGGGCCGCGGGGAGTTGGTGGGCTCCCTCCCTGTGTTGCACCCAGCGAGGATACTTGCCCCTCCCGGGGCTGTGCCCAGCGCTTCACAAGCGTGCACTTACTGAAGCCTCGCAACCACATAGCGAGGTCAGCGTCTGTACCGTCCGCTTGTCAAAGAGCGCAAACCGCTTCCCGTGGGTCTCTCACTGGAATCGTAGAGTTGGGACTCGGAGTCCCGCTCGCGGCCACTGGGCAGCCCTACTTGACCCAGTCGGAACTGCGCGCGTTCCCTCCGGGCCTCCTCACTGACCGTAGGGGAGTGGGGGTGAGAAACAGCCAGGAAGCTCCTCCCCAAGGGGCTGGGCGTGGCCCGGAACCCGCTGCCTGCTGCAGGTGCCGGGCTCTGTGCCCTCGGGCCTCGGTTTTCCCTTTGTCAAGTGGATTTGTAGCATCTGTCTCACAGGATTCTGAGCCCATGAACTGGGGCTCAGCACAGCACCTGGCGTCACCGTAATTGGGAGAGCGCACCTGTGACAGTGTTTCACCTACGGAAGAAGCTCCGCTGGGCTCCTCCCGCTCAGTGCAGCAGCTTTTCTCCAGCCCCGGTACCGCACCCCTAGAATGGAGGGGAAGGCTGAGGGAAGTTGGGAGAGTGTAGGTAGAGTAGATTCATCCCTACTCTTAATCCAGATGGGCAAATCTCCTGTTATAGCAGGAACAGAACCCCAAGGAATGCAAACATCCTAAGGTCACCAATAATCACAGGGCCTCTGCCACCAATAAAGACTAATACTTTTATGAACTTGTACTAACTGCAATCACCCACAGCCCAGCCTCAGGCCACAAGGTCTGTGGCAGCCAGAGAGGTCAGGGAGACAACAGGCCAGCTGGCCCCTGGCTCCTAGCCACACCACCTCCCAGGTGCTTTTGATTCTAGTAGTGCCAAAGCCATCTCCCACCTTCATCCTCGGGCCTCTCCATCCCCTTCTCTCTCCCTTTCCTCATGAATACGTAGTAGCAGACTTCCTCCCCTGTATTTAAATCAGCACGACTGGACCTTGAGATCTCACTGAGTCCTCCCAAAAGCCCCCAAGGAGAGGGTCAGATGTGATGACAGGAAACAAGTCAGAGAGGTTCATTAACTTGCACAAGGCCAGATGCCAAGTAGCTGAGGCAGGGATGACAACCGTGCCTGATCCCCAGTATGAAGCCCTCTGCCAGGCAGATCCCCGACTGCTCTCTCCACATCTCCCCTCCTCTCAAGTCTTCACCTGGAGCTCAGATGGCACACCTCCAAGCACAGATGTTCAAATATGCAGTAAGGGAGTGGGAGTATGTTTAGAGAGCCGGAAGCTGATAAAGATCTCCATTTGTTTCATGTTCTGGTATATCTGTATTTCCTAAACTTCTCTGAGGGTAAGAATCACCTGAAGTGCTCCGTAGAAACACTTGAGCCTCAGAACAGACCAATTGAGTCAGATTTCCCTAGGAGGCACTTTCTGGATGATGCTTATCAGAACAGTTTGGGGACCACTGGGCTACATGAATTATCAGACCATTTGGGAAAAGGCCTTTGAAATACTAATGTATGCGGAATGTTCCCAGACTATTGTCATAAGCGCTACATATATTATTACTTCATTTAATCCTCACAGTGACCCTCTGAGTACTATTATCTCCATTTTAGAAAGGAGGAAACTGACTCAGAGTGTCATGCCAAGCAACTGTTAAAGATACACAGTACCCACTGAATTAGAATCACCAGGGAAGGGGCCCTGGCATTGATATTTTAAAGCAAGCCCATCCTGTTCATTTTGTGGATCAGGTAGGTTTGGGAAACACAGCTCATTTTCTCTCACTGTGATGGTGCAGTTCATTGCCACCCCCACTCCTTCCAACAGTAACCAGACGACCACCACCACCACCACCACCCAAAGTTGAGCCAGAGCCAGAGCCAGAGCCAGAGCCAGAGCCAGAGCCAGTTGCAGAGCCAGAACCAGAACCAGAACCAGAACCAGAGCCGGAGTTCTCAAGGAGGAAGCCCCACCTTCTCCACCTCAACCACCTACACCACTGCAACAACTTATACCGCCTCCTCCACTTCCTCCACCTTCTTCTCCCCTTCAGAAGGTTCCTTTGGTTCCGGGAAACTGCCTGTTGGCAATCAATGGGTGAGTCAGCCCTGGCCTCTGAGCCTTTCCTGAAGCCATAGGGCCCAGGCATTCCTCCAGTAACTGAATAGGGCATCTCCACATTTCACACCCTCAATGCTTTCATCCTGTCCCCTTGGAGAATGGGGGGGGGGGGGGGAGTAAACAGGGCTTTGCCCCCTACGAGAGCTCACATTCTGGTGGGAAAACAACAATCAAATAAGGAACATTTGGTTTGGTGATGTGTGAATGAACAGTATGAAGTATAGTAAGACTGGAGAGGCCAGTGTTAGCTGGGGTGTCAGGAAAGACCTCTGGGAGGTGACACTGGAGTGAGGCCTGAGTGGCAGCTGTGCAGCAAGCAATGGCTCGGGGACACAGGTGGCAGCACAGTATGCAAAGGACAGGCAGGAATTCAGTGCTGGTGTGGAGCAAGCAAGGCAGAAGAGGAAGGAGAGTGGTGGAAAGCAGACGGGCCTCGTAAGCCTTGGTAAGGAATTTGGATCTAGTTTTACTGATAGAGCTGTAGAGGCTTTCAGGCCAAGAGACGTAATCGGGCCTGAAGTTCTTTAAGATCCATCCAACTACACGATTAGGAATGGGGTAAAGAATGGATGGGTGAGGAAGCAGGCAAATCAGTTAAGCTGGTGAGATCATGAGCAAGATAATAGCTGCCTGCAAAGGGTTGGTTGCCTTCTTCCCTGAGATCGAGTCGTCCGACCCAGTCCCCTTGAGAAGCCTCCTGCTACCCCCTTCTTTCCTGTCCCCTCCTCTGCCTGCTGGCTGAGGATTCTGAAGACAACCCCACAACCCCTGTCCTGGACAGATTTGGACGTATCGGTCGCCTGGTGCTGCGAGCCTGCATGCAGAAAGGCGTTAAGGTGGTGGCAGTGAATGATCCATTCATTGACCCGGAATACATGGTGAGTAGCAGGTAAAGGGTAGGATCGGGGGTTCAGGGGTGCTCTCTGGGAGGTTCTCAGGTGCAATATGAAACCTTCACCAAGGCAGGGATTCCTTAGGGATGCTTGCTCCCCCACCCCTGCCACCCCCATGATCAGGAGCCATTCTGTCTCCCACAGGTGTACATGTTTAAGTATGACTCCACCCATGGCCGATACAAGGGGACTGTGGAATACAAGAATGGACGGCTGGTTGTGGATAAACAGGAGATCAGTGTCTTCCAGTGGTAAGGGCAGCTGTCTGATGCATGCCTGCAACACATTAATGGAGGGGGTGTAGAGATGACATGAATGGGATCCCAGCCTCTCCTTGGGATTCATAACCCCTCAGCATGTATGTCTCTCAGTATTGGTTGGAAGAGGGGGGTCTCAGAGAAGTCTGTGACTGCTAAAATGGTTAGGAAGCACTAACTTAGAAAGATACCCCACTATACTCAGGAATACTTTTGATTTAATGCACATTTACAAGTTTTCGCACAGGCATATCAATTCAACATGTCTAAAACTCACCTCTTGATTCTCCATCAACCCCCAAACCTATTCATCTCCCTTCCCACGAAGCGACATCGACATATAGCCAAGTGCTTCTACTCGGTTCCTACACAGCAACCACAGAGGCCTTTTTAAAATGTCAACTAGGCCATTACTCCCCTACTTAAACCCTCCCACCAGCTCTCTCTCCTACCCCTTCACCTCTGCCCTGGCTTCTCTACAAAATGCCAATAAGGCATTTAACCCTCAGGGTATAAGGGTTAACTGATTCAGTGAAGGCAAAGCACTTAGAACATGGGCACGTGGCAGGTGTTCAGTAAACATGTGTAGGATGGCTAATAAAAAATAACCCTACAAACACTGTCTGAACCCCTTTGGAGGGAGCAGGCTCAATGACAAAGGAAACAGACACAAACCTTTTGCCACAAAGCGGTCTAAAAGATGAGACAGATGCTAACAAAAAATCACAAAAGCGAATACTGCAGTTGTGATAAGTCCTGTGAAGAAGACTCATACACAAACCAAGTAGAAAACAGCAATATTTGTTTCAAATGCAAACGTTAGATAAACTATCAAGTAAAAATATAAATTTATAAAAGTGGAAACCAAAAAGGCCTTGACCTTTCTGATGTAAAACACTAACCACTGCTGACCCCAGGGTAGCCTGAGGCTACAGTTACACCCCTCCCCCCGCATTGCTCCCAGGATGTAGTTCCTGTCTTCAGGGACTTGCTCAGCCTCTGGCAGTAGGCTCCCGGTTGCAGAAGCTGAGTGCTAGAGACAAGAGGCAAGGAGGGCCATGGTGAGGTTGTGAGGACAGGGAATCAGAAGCAGTGCAGCAGGCCTTGCCCTTCTGGAGTCTACATTCTAGGCATACAAAGGGCCTGACCTGGTTGGCAGTAGTCCGGGGTGGTCCCCTGGAGACAGAGAGTGAATGAGCCTGAGTAGGGGAGGTGGCAACTTGTATATACTGGGGCATAGCAGAGGAAGGGCAGTCAAGGTAAGTGGCCCACAAGAGCTGCTCGAAATGTATCAAGATAGGAACTGCAGGGCTGGGAGAGTCAGATCTCCTGCCTCAGAATCTTTGCACTTGGTCTGGAAAGCTTTTCCCCCAAGTGGCATATATCTGTCCTCACCTCCTCCAATTCTTTACCTCAGCCTCCCTCCTCAGCAAGATGCCAACAGGCAAGACTAGCAGGGTCAAATCCACCTGGGATAACTAGGTATGTGTGGGGTGGGGAGAACAGATGGTTACAGTCCAGGTGGGAAGGTGTCTCGTCAGCCTTTCAAACAGTAAAGGCCAGGGACTATGAAGGCAAGGCCATGCAAGGGAGGCTGATACACAGCCCTGCCACCTCTCCATAGCAAGCAGCCCAAAGAGATCCCCTGGAAGTCTGTTGGAAGCCCCTTTGTAGTGGAGTCCACAGGAGTGTACCTGTCCCAAGAGGAAGCTTCCGTAAGTGGGGGAGAAGTGGGCAGGGCTGGCCAGGGGGTGTGACACTCAAAGCATCTCATCAATTCATGACACCAGTGCTCCTTCCTCCTTCCCTAGAACCACATCCAGGCAGGTGCCTTACGTGTGGTCATCAGCGCACCCTCACCAGATGCACCCATGTTTGTCATGGGGGTGAATGAAAAGGACTATAATCCTGATTCCATGAAAGTTGTCAGGTAACGGGCAGCAACATCCAGAAGTGGGTGGGTGATGTCCAGAGAACATGCCAGCCTGTGATGGGAAGGGATCAGACTCAGCCTCCCCCTCCCCCAACCGCCACTCCCACTGGTGCTTCTTTCACATCCCCATCTGCTTCTCCCTCCCAAAGTCTTAACAGCCACCATGTTAACATTCCCCCTGGACCTGTTAAAAATGCACAACTTCTGGAGAATATGCTTGGGGAGCTTCCCCCAGCTGCACCTCCAGTGCCTCCTTCAGTCTAAAGGCATCCCCAATGATCTTTCTCATCCCCATCCTGACGTTTCACAAATCCAAGCCTCTGAGCATCTCCCCAAAATGAGGTAAGGGTGGAAGGTGGCTCTGACACTCACCTCACAGTTCCCTTGCATACCGGGCTGTTTCAGCAATGCATCCTGCACCACCAACTGCCTGGCCCCCCTTGCCAAGGTCATTCATGAGCGATTCGGGATTGTGGAAGGACTGATGGTGAGTTGGGGAGAGGGCTGGGCAGGATGGATGGCAGGGAACCTGTACCGCTTCCTCTCAGGATTTGCTTAGTGTGTGACTTTAATAGAAAGAGACTGGTTTCAAGAGGAAAGGCCCGCCAGTGGTAGAGTCTTTTAAAATTCTGTGTAACTCTCGGCAAGGCTGAACCCCAGCTTGCAGGTGCCCCTCCAGTGGTCTGTGGTGGCCCCACAACCTCCACACCTGGCTCATCACTTCAGACCTGAAACAAAGAGGCACAGGAACTTAGGAGCAGGAAGGCCTCACCTCAGCCCTCTTCTTCCCCAAGACCACAGTCCATTCCTACACGGCCACCCAGAAGACAGTGGATGGGCCATCCAAGAAGGCCTGGCGAGACGGACGAGGAGCTCACCAGAACATCATCCCAGCCTCTACAGGGGCTGCCAAGGCCGTGGGCAAAGTCATCCCAGACCTCAAAGGGTATGAGGGCAGAAAGCTGCAACCAGGGTGGGAGGCACACCCTGGGAAGAGCAGACGGGCCCCAATCCTTGAGGTATCTAATGAGAGGAAGGTGGAGGTGAGGGGGTAGATGGAGAAGTCCTTGGGTTCTGACTTCCACCTCGATGTGGGACTGTCCAGGAAGCTGACAGGAATGGCGTTCCGGGTACCAACCCCAGACGTGTCTGTCGTGGACCTGACCTGCCGCCTAGCCCGGCCGACCACATACTCGGCCATCAAGGATGCCATAAAAGCAGCAGCCAAGGGGCCAATGGCTGGCATACTTGCCTACACGGAGGATGAGGTAGGGACTGAGGAGAAGAGACCCTGGGAGGAACCCTCTGGGGAGAGACCGTGACTTCCCACTTGCCAAGGAGCTGCTCCCAACGTATCAAGATAGGAACTGCAGGGCTGGGAGAGTCAGATCTCCTGCCTCAGAATCTACGCACTTGCTGCTCCTTTGGTCTGGAAAACTTTTCCCCCAAGGGGCCATGTATCTGTCCTCACCTCCTCCTCAGCAAGGTGTTCTTTTTGTGGCCCCTTTCTTCACCTGAAATTCCATTTCAGTCACTGCTGGTCCTGCTAGCACGTGCACTCCAAGAAGGCAAGGATTTGGGGACTATCTTTTCACTTCCAAAGCTCCAGCCATCTTCTCAGGGCCTGGCACACAGCAGATGCTCCATACATGCTTCCTGAACAAGACAAAATATACCATTTTTCAACACTTGCTCAGGGCAGGCCATGGGCAGGTACCTTCCCTGTGAAAAACAGATGTCACTGTCCCTGTGCTCCCAGTAGTACCATCTCTGGTGCTGTCTCCCTGGTTTAGCTCCTTGCAAGGCCACCCTCACACAGCCACCAGGACCTCTTGTTTTAATGAAATCAGATCACACCCCCCTCCCTCCCCCCTGCAGAAAACCTTCCTGTGGCCTTCCACCACACCATGGCCCAACCCTCCGCCTCTGCGCTGCAGCTCCTCCTACCTCAGATCTGCTGAGGGCCTGAGTCAGCCAGACCCAGCCTTGTGCCTCCACCTGGGGCCTCTGTGCCAGCCCGTTCCAAGTGCCTGAATTATCCCCAGGAAATGATATTTATTGGTGCGGCATCAGGGTGTTCGTGGTCTGTGTCCTTTGGCCAGTCCCCCACCAGCAAAGCCCCCAGGTGCCTCCTTCATATCCCATCCCCACAGCCTGGACACAGTAGGACTCCATCAGATGTCCTGGACGAATGCATAGCCAATATGCCTGAGTCAGAACCTGGCCTCCTGGAGGTCTCTGCTCTGCGACCCAAACTTACCTCAGAAATTCTGGCACCCAGGTTGTCTCTACGGACTTTATCGGCGATACCCACTCTTCCGTCTTCGATGCTAAAGCCGGCATCGCGCTCAACGACAATTTCGTGAAGCTCATTTCCTGGTACGGAGGGGAGGGGTCAGAGAACGCGGGGAGCTGGGGGTAACGGGGAGGGACCCCCTGACCCTCTACGCCCTCCCCAGGTACGACAATGAATACGGCTACAGCCACCGGGTGGTGGACCTCCTCCGGTATATGTTCAGCCGAGACAAGTGAAGTGCGACAGCCCCTCCACTCCCCTGTGCTCCCTGCCCAGAACCTCTACCTCCCGCAGAGGGGAGGCGCCCGGCGCGCGGCCGCCCGTGGGCCGCCGGTGAAATAAACACTGCGTGCCTACTTCCCCTACTTCATCACCTACAAGTGCAGCGGCCTGTGAGTGCGGGGCGGCCGCGGGGCGGGCGGGGGCGCGGGCCGGGCGAGCCCTCACCGCCCGCTCCTGCAGGTCCGAGTACAATGCGTTCTGGAAGTGCGTCCAGGCTGGGGTCACCTACCTCTTCGTGCAGCTGTGCAAGGTGAGGGCGCCCACAGCCGCTCGTCTGGCCCCAGGCTCGCAGACCAGCGCTCCACCCTGCCCGAAGGCGCGGGGTGGTCCTCAGCTCTCCCCGTAGAAGATGGCCTTGGAAGGGTGGGACCTGAGGAGACGCCTCCAGCAGCTCTTGCATAGCTAATTTTGTAAGATTGAGAAACTCGGTTATATGGTGTGAAGGGGGTTTGTGTGGTTAAGAACCACTTACCACCACCGGGTGCTGCAAATGCTGCTGGTGGCCGCCAGCCCAGCACCTCCAGGCCTGAGCCTGTGATCACCACAGAAAAGCTTCCAGGCCTCTTCCCTACATCTCCACGGGTCCTGTCATCTTGCCCCCTCATCTGGTGGGCCCTCTCCATATGGGAACCCCAGAACCACGCACACACTAACTTCCCACACCTTGAGGTGACCTCTGTTTTCTGTTCTCAGATGTTGTTCCTGGCCACTTTCTTTCCCACCTGGGAAGGCGGCATCTATGACTTCATTGGGGTGAGTGGGGCAAGGAAGGGGGAGGGAGTGCAGAAGTAAGGCCCCCTGGCATCTGTACTTACTCGAGCCTTAACCCGACCCACAGGAGTTCATGAAGGCCAGCGTGGATGTGGCAGACCTAGTAGGCCTCAACCTTGTCATGTCTCGGAACGCCGGCAAAGGGGAGTACAAGATTATGGTTGCTGCCCTGGGCTGGGCCACTGCAGAGCTCATTATGTCCCGGTGTGTGCAGCAGCCTGAAGCCCAGATTCCTGAGAAAGGACACCTGGGTTTCAGAGAGGTTCTGGAGGGTGGGGGCTCAGGTTCTGGGTGCTGAGGGTTTCTGGGTACTGGAGAATCCTTCCCTTTGCCTTTTTCAGTTGCATCCCCCTCTGGGTTGGAGCCCGGGGCATTGAATTTGACTGGAAATACATCCAGATGAGCATTGATTCGAACATCAGTCTGGTAGGCAGTGCTACTGTCCCATACACACCCTTCTGTTGGTGGCAGTACTTCTCCCCAATACTTGGCCCTGACTTCCTGCCTCCCTTCAGGTCCATTACATCGTTGCATCTGCCCAGGTGTGGATGATAACACGCTACGATCTGTACCACACTTTCCGGCCAGCTGTCCTCCTGCTGATGTTTCTCAGCGTCTATAAGGCCTTTGTCATGGAGTGAGTTGGGTGGGATTCAAGGATGGGTCCAAAAGGGGCTGGATGATCTGTTTTCCTTCTCTCATTGTGATGTTTCCCCACAGGACCTTCGTCCACCTTTGTTCCTTGGGCAGCTGGACAGCACTTCTGGCCCGAGCAGTAGTGACAGGGCTGCTGGCCCTCAGCACCCTGGCCTTGTATGTCGCTGTTGTCAACGTGCACTCCTAGGCTTGGGTCCCAGGCATTCACATACCTTTTCCTTGTCTCCAGGTTTTAGTGAATTAAACAGTATTTGGGAAGTTGTTTCCGCCTACATCTCTCTCTGGAGCTGTCTGCCAATACCACACTCACCTGTGTCCCAGAGGCCCTTGTTCTGACTTTGGAGCCAGGTAGACAGCCTGGCTCTGATTTGTCCTGTGTTCCTATAGCCATTCCTCAGCTCTTTGTTTTTCCAGAGTAGACTGAAGGGCTTGAAGTATATAATATTTGAGCAGTGGCAAATTAGAGAACAGGCGATAGAAGGAAGCTGGAATCCAAAGTTCTTGGGGACTTCTCACAGCCTTAACCTGGCCCTCTACCATATGGGCCCTTCCCTCACTGGTCACCTCCAAGACCCCTGTCCCTAATCTCCTTTGATCCACCCTTTTTATGGCAGCCAGGGGGATCTATCTGAAACCCAGTCTCACTAATTCATCCTCATTACAACCATCTAGAGCAGCGGTTCGCAACCTGTGGGTCGCGACCCCTTTGGCGGTTGAACGACCCTTTCACAGGGGTCACCTAAGACCATCCTGCATATCAGATATTTACATTACGATTCATGACAGTAGCAACATTACAGTTATGAAGTAGCAACGAAAATAATTTTATGGTTGGGTCACAACATGAGGAACTGTATTTAAAGGGCCAGAAGGTTGAGAACCACTGATCTAGAGCTCCCCATTGCACCCTGGACCGTTGGGGCAGACTTCTGTGATTCTGAGTTCCTCAGTTCTGTGACCCTCAGATAAAATCCTGGTCTGAGTCTTCTTAGGGTAGAGTTCAGAGACCGCTGCAGCCAAGCAGAGCATTTGAGCCCCTAAATTTGGATATTGACCTGGATGCCACCCTTCCCACCCCAACCTTTTCTTGGTTCAGTGGGGTCAGCTCCCTGTCCTATTTCTGACCCCTCCCTGAGGGATATCAGAGGCAGAGCTTTGAATTTCATGTTTCAGCTCCACCTTGATGCAAATCCTGCCACCCAGGAAAGTGCTCCCCAGCCCTGGTTTTCCCAGTGGAATCCCCCAGGGTGTGAGACTGGCAGTTGCCCCCTCCCTCACTCTACCAATGGAGGTCCTGCCATAATGTTATTTAACCCTGGGCCTAGGAAAGCATCATGCACAGCTGCTCAGCTCTGCTATGGCAGTCTTAGTGTTTTCAGAGGGAACATACAACCACTATCTAGCCCCATCCTCTTGCCCCTAGTCAAGACAGGGTCCACATGTATCTTGGGAAGGAATGGGGAAGTGATTGATTGGTCACCCTGACTTTGACTTGAAAAGGGATTAGGGCAGGCACTCTCCCAGTCCAGGTAGGTAGATATGTAATGGAGTCACTTCCTCACCTTTATCCCATGCACCACCTAGCTCTTGACACGTGTTGGGACAAATGAAGTTTGCAGAAATTATTCAACAACTATTTGCTAAGCAGGGACTCCCAGGCCCCGCTTCTGGTGGCTGTCTATGAATTAATCCCAGCTTCCATGGGATACAGACAGACCAGAGTGGTTGGAGCTAAGGTTGTGGGGGACGGGGTAGCACAGGCCAGAGGAATCAGGGCTGTGATGGGTGAAGCTTGGTCGAAGTGGTAGGACTGATGAGCTAAACTAGTGATTAGAGCTGTGATGGTAAAACAGTGGTGGTCCAAAGGAGCTACCTGACCCAGACAGGGGAGGAGGGGGTGGGGGCGGGGGGCAGGCTGGGCTCCCTGGAAGAGCTGAGACTGAAAGATGAGTTAGTGAGGCAAAGAGGAGAAAACAGGTGTCAAGGCCTGTATAAAGGCCTTGAAGTCAGGGCCTTCCCTTTCCATCAAACCTAACTGGTTGGAACAAGTCAGGGTCTGGATCCCAGAAGGCTCTCAGGGTTGGGCTGAGGAATTGAGCAGGGACAAAGGGGAACTAGGGAGAATTCTATGTGAGGGGAAGACAGGGTCAGATTTGGCTTTGTTAAGATTTCTGTGGCCACTGTGGGTGGGGAGACTGAGGCCAGAAAATCAGGACTGGACCAGGACAGGGATGGCGGAAGTAGGAGAGTGGCTATAGGCAGAGTGGAGGTGGTGACCAAAAGCCTGTTTTTTTCTGTGTGGTGGGGAGATTGTGAAAATGACAGATGAGAAAGGAGTGAAGAGCCCTTCCCAAGGTCTCATCACATTTTCCTAGGAGGAGGAACCTACTGATGGGACAGTGGATGAGAGCAGGTTTGGAGGGTGATACAGAGACCAGTGTGGGTCCTCAGACATGCCTGGGGAAGCTAGAGACAGATGCGGGTAACACTGCAGAGACAGAACTGAGATGTGGGCAGGGGTACTGTGATGAAGAGGAGGGAGAAGCCAGGGGCCTAGCCAGAGAGACTCATTAGAGAAAGGGGAAAAGAGACAAGAAAGAGTGTGGCCAGAGGGAGGTGGAGGGCCCCGGACGGGAATTTCTGGCAGTTGGAAGCTTAACTTTTAGGTGAGGGTGTAAGGAGGAGCCTGTGAGTTTCATCCCAGGAGTAGGTTGGGATGCCCATTGCTTTGCAAAGGAATGAACAAGTGGAGACACCTGTGAAGGCTGGAGGGCGGGGACAGCCTGAGGTGGGAAAGATTTTGACACCCTGTATCAAGGAGTCTCTCCAGAGGGAGAATGGGTGCTGAGAAAGAGAGCCCAGAGGCAGTGTTTAGGTTAGAGGAGTGGTTAGAGTGCTCTGGAGAGTGCCTGTGGTCACATCCAACTCACCTTTAAGTGCTTTAACCCTAGGCAAAGAAATGGGACTTTATTTTCCCAAGGAAGGGAAGGGTTATTGAGTGCCTACTGTGTGCCAGGCTGTGTTTGAGGAACTGGAGATACAGCCCTGAACAAATATCCCCTAAGTTGTAGGATTGTGGGACCAAAGGGGCTCATGAAAACCACTTAAGACGGTGCCACACCAAATAAAAAAGCAGTCACTGTGAGCTGGTTTATTACTATTACGCAGACACAAGTGTGTTTTAAAGAAGAGCCCCCAGGCACCCCACCTCAGAGGAGCTACTAGCTCCTCCCCATCAAACCTCCCCCCTCAGATGGGGGCTTCCCCAGGCCAGCTCGGAGGTGGGCCTAGGGACTTCCTCCAAGAAGTTGGGCTCCTTTTGGATGGGGAAGGGCAGTAGGGAGGGTCCCTTCCAGGTTGGGGTGCCATGGGCTACACAGGAACAGACACAGGTCAGGCTAGGACTCTTGCTCGCTCAGGTGTTTTGGTGACTGTCCAGACAGTCCCATGAGTCTTGCCCCAACCTGTCTGGTAGAGGCAGGGATGACTTGAAGACAGCAGTCCCTTTAATAGTAGAGTTCCTGGTCCCACCAGCCTGGGAGAGAAAACAAAGACTCAATGCTGAGGGGAGAGGGGTCAGGAGGTGGGGCCAGGGTCTCAGAGGTTGTGGCAGTTTGATTTGGAGGTCAAGTGTGAA